ACTCTGTCCTTGGGAGGTTCCCACTCCCCAAATTGAGAGCGTCCCCTCCCAAAGTATGAACTGACCGTGGTCTAATTAATCTTTCCAGAGTACTTACTTTTAGGTGTTCAGAATTGAGTCAGGGGTCTTGCTTCCATCCTGGATGAGCCCCCAAATGTGATAGCTTGGACCCTGGAATAAAATCCAAGGAAGTAAGAAATTAAAATTTAGGGAGCAAAGGCTTTATTTTAGGCCAGGCCTGGCAACGCAGCCTCCAGAAGCCAATATGGAGACTGCGCGCCTTACAGCTAAAACGATTGGGTTTTTAAAGCCTAAAACCACAGGAATGTTGTGAACTTTGACACAGTTTGATAGCATCTGGGCTTCTTGGTGTCTCCTGTAATTTCCTTGTGGTTAAATGTTTTTTAAGGAACAGCACATTTTATTACAGATAGGTTGAAGGGGGTGGGGGGATTACAAGAAACTGAAACTTAAGTCTTTACTGGAAATGGAATTTTAATCTCTATTGAAACGGTGCATACAGAACAGGAAGGAGGCACATTGGTTAGAACTAGGTTACAACACTTTTATGTTTATATGGTTTTGTTTTCATCTTTGTAAAAAAGAAATTTTACTAGCAAACATCTAGCAGATCATTGCTACATAAGCACAACCTGTCTTTTTGGCTTTTGGGTTTTGGGTTGTTTGTTGTTTGTTTGGAGACAGTGTTCACCGTGAGTTCTGGCTGGCCTTGAACTCACTATGTAGCTCAGGTTGGCCTCGAACTCACATCAGTCCTCCTGTTTCAGCCTCACAAATGCTCGGATCACAGATGTGCACCAGCACACCTGGCAACACTGTCTTTTAATATTGACATTGTAATCTTAAGTCTTCAGCAGATGTTTCACATGCTCTTTTATTATTGCTGCTCCTACATCACTTCCTTTCTCTCTCACTTTGCAGTGCCAAAAGCCAAAGCTCTCTGTGTAGTAAACTGCGTAGTGTTAAGTAGGAATGTGGATCTGACATAGAATGAGAGCGTTAGTCTCACCCTCACTATAATTCATTACCTTATTATGTGTGAGCCAGTAAAATGTGACCACCAATTGTACTATTGGCACTTTTATCTCCCATTTCTGACATATTTGGCTCTACAAAAACCTCTAGGCAAGTACACTACTGCATTATTACACCTCAGGCTATCTTGTTCATTTCCGTGGTGTGTGTGTGTGTGTCCTAAAATAGATTTAAAAAATTTTTTTTGAGACAGGATCTCACTAGGCAGTTCAGGCTGCCCTTGAACTTGTGATCCTCCTGCCTCAGCCTCTAAGTATCTTGATTATAGGTGTGTGCCACCATGCCTAGTAAAATATGTACTTTAAAATTTCCATTTTTATGGTTTACTTCTAGATGTCCCTCCAAGAGCTTCATTGGCTCATAGGTGGCACTCTTAGCTAACTCGATGTTAGTAGGTGGGGTCTGGTGAGGAGGGGCTGACTTGACCAGAAAGGGTGGGTTTCCCTTGCCGGCTCCTCCACCCAAGCCCTGCCACCAGAGCTTTCTGCCTGTGGCCAACATACTACTGAAGGACTAAAACTTCTAAACTGTGAGCCAAAATAAACTCCGCTCCTCTAAATTGCAGGTGTCAGGTATTTTGTCTCAGCAACAAGGAAAATGACTAAGATGAAATTCACTTTTCATCCTCCTCTTCTGGTCACTGTCAATGACTCTCTTTTTCCAGGAATCTGGTACCCTTTAAAAAGGAGGCAGAGTTGCTTATTTACATCAGGACCACGCAGAATCTGGCACTCAGACTACAGAACGAGAAAGAGAGAGTTGCAGAGGTGAAGTATAGGATGAAATCAGGCCATGCATAGCTGGCCTAAGTACAGACAGGTGATTATCCATCTTCTCTGAGACTCAAACTTTTAGGTAGACTTTTGTGTGGTGCTTTTATATTTCTGTTTTTTCTGTAAAAGTATTTTACTGGTTTTGGTTTTGGTTTTTGGTTGAGGGGGGTATTTTGTTTGAAAAGTTGCTTTGTAGAGGCAGAATAATTAGCCACTGCTAAATTAGAAATGAGGGGCTGCAGATGTAGCTAAGCAGCACAGCATCTGCCTGCCAGGCGGAAGGTCCTCAGTTCAATTCTCGGTACCAAAAAAGTAAAATAAAATAGAAATGAAAGTGGTTGACTGGAAATGTCGAAGGTATTATATTGCTTTGCAACTGAAGAGATTAAAACGTGCTGTTGTGACATAATATTGAAAGCTAGAAACTTGAAAAACAGAGGGTAGAAAGATCATTTTGACCTTCGTATTTATGGGGACAGTATGAAGGATTCCAGGCAAGTAGTTCTACCGATGAGCTGTATCTCCAGGCTCATGTTGGGTTTTTTGTTGTTTGCTTCATTTTGTTTTTTGTTTTTATTTTTTGAGAGGGTATCATTATGCAATTCAGGCTGGCCGCCTCATTCTGTAGCCCAGGCTGGTTTCACACTTGCAACCATCCTCCTGCCTCAGCCTCCCCAGTGCTGGGATTACAGGCAGGCTCCACCATGCCTGGTTTGTCATACTGTTTCTTAAAAGCAGAAAATCAAATTCCCACTCTCCTTCTACTAAGGAGGAAATACACCACACATCTTTATATTCAAGGATGACGTGGAAACAAGGGATTTTCCTTTTTTTAAATTGGGGCTTGAACCTGGGCCTTTATGCTGAGCTATATCCTTATTTTTATTTTTATTTTGGATAGTGTTAGGTCTGAAAGAAGGGGGAGGAGGAGAGAGAGGGAGAGAGGTCGAAGTCCGTGGGAGGTATGGAGCGGACGGCCGTGAAAGTAGTGGGCAGCAGTGACTTTATTCCGGGAATGCGGGGAGGGGGCCCCCGGCCGCCGGCCCCCGGGCGCAGCCTCCACTGCACCCGGGGCCGGGCCGTGGTTAACACGGGGAGAGGAGACTGGCGCGCTGGCTGCTGGAATCCGCGATTTTTCTCTGGCGAACTCTCTTTCTGGCGAACTCTCTTTCTGGCGAACTCTCTCGGACACGCGGCGTGGGGGAATCTAAATAGCCTAAGCTTAGGGCAGCGCCCTAAGGCCATTAGAGATGCACAGGTATCTCATTGGCGCACAGGTTCTTAAGGATGGGGATATAGGGTTACAGTCAAGTCCATAGGGGGCAGGGGGGGGGGGAGGAGTTTAGCTGCAGCCTTTCCTGGTTACAGTGTTCAGTCTGAGCCAGCAACTCTTTCAGATAGGGTCTATCCTGGCTAGGAGTTGAGTTTGCACATCTCCTGCCTCAGCTTGCCTCAGTGCTGGGATTACAGGCATGGGCCACCACGCCAGGCTCCTAGACAATTCTGCACAGACCTTGTTAACAGAATTCATCGCCTAAGTTGACTCAACAGTTTTTTGTCCAACCCATAAGTTGCTGACTATTCCTTTAGGTCCTTATTTCCTTATGAATAAAGTCTTGAGGAGCACATAAAATCTACCCTTTTCTCTGGTTCATCTATTTTTTTTTTTTTTTTTTTTTTTTGTCTTTTTCCTTTTTATTGGCACTGGGGATCGAACTCACGGCTGCCTGCTTGCAAGGCAGGCGCTTATGCCGCTGAGCTAAATCCCCAGGCCCAGGTTCATCTATTTTATACATTTTAACTCTGGGTCTCTAAGACGGAGGTGTTTTTCATTCCTAAATATGAACTGTAGGTACTGCAAAATATGAAGCTCAGACTAGAAAATGTGCTTCGGCAGTTTAAAAGATGAACAGCTAAGTTTTAACATTTATAAAGTATACTGAAACACACTGCTAATAACTGTGCTAATTGCACCATTATAAAAATTGAATTTTGTCAAGTTGTAAGTACACAGGTCCAAAGAGTGATTAAAAAAAAAAATTATGTCAGAGAGAGGACAAGCCAGTGTCTTCCAACAATCAGCCATGCTGGAACTTGGGAAACTGATCAAGAAAGCAAGGAGCCATCTTTCCTGGTAAGCGGGGCGAGCCAGGGAGAGTAAGTCAGTGTCTTAACCGTGCACAAGCTAAAACCAAGCATCCCATGCGCTCCTAGCCCCTCTCCCGTGGATGGTTTCAAGGTCAGCCGGAGTCCATACAAACTAAGGTACATAAAACAACTAAATGCTTGTATTGTTTGGTTGATTATGGTGATCTGGGACCAAAGGTCTGAACATCTCTTAGGAGAGTAACAAATATGGGGGATTTCCTTGTATCTTGTCTTTGAAGGCCATTATTGTCTTCACTGTTTTGCTCTGTTCTGATGTTCTGCTCTACTCAATGTTCTGTTTTGGTTTCATTTTGCTATACCTGCTTGAATGGACAACTATTGTGAAGATAACAAGATATACTATGGTAGCTATTATTGTTATCTGGTATAGGGCTCTAAAGTTCTATACCAATTTCACTGCATTGTCTTGATTGCCTTTGTTCTGTCTTGTTTTGTTGTATTTTTACTATCTTTAAAATAAAAAATTAAACATAGGACTGGGAATATAGCTCAGCGGCACAGCGCTTGCCTGACAAGGTTGTAAATTCAATTCCCGGTACAAAAAAACAAAACAAAACAAACCCTAAACATAAAAAGAGTGTTTCAGTTGGGCGTGGTGGCGCACGCCTGTAATCCCAGCCTGTAATCAATCAGGAAGTTGAGGCAGCACAATCGCTGCAAGTTTGAGCGCAGCTTGGGCTAGATTGTTCAAGGTCAGTCTGGTGATTCTCTCTCTCAAAAAAAAAAAAAAAAAGAAGAAAGCATTTTCTTGCTTCCTCTAACTTGTATTTCGCGAGCAGCACCACCTAACTTCGGTGCGTAAGGAGACTCAGCGTAAACACACTGAAAGGAAGTGCGAGACTCCTCAGGAACACAGCAGCAGGAGGGCTGAGAAAGGGATCTTCTCGTGAGCTTCCTGAGCTTCTCGCGAGAGGAGTTTCCACGTCACGTCACAAACTAAGTACACGGGCTCGGAGCTACAGAAGCCGGAACAAACTAGCAGCGATGTCCAATGGATGCGGGACTGTTTTGGTGGTAGGACTTCCGGCGACAGAGCGGACTTCTCCGGGAAAGCGGGGGAGCCTGGGACTTCCGGCCAGTATTCTTACGTGTTCTGAGCGGCCAGTGGCTGTGTGGAAATGGCTTGCGCCGCTGCACGGTCTCCAGCCGACCAAGACAGGTGAGCCCTGAGAGAGAAGCAGGCTTGCTAGGGTGGCGCGGGATCTCGGCCCCGTCACCACACCCCTGCCTCGAGGACGGCCTTGCCCGCCGAGCTGAGCCGGAGCCGCGCGCTCGGTGCCTCTGGGGCGCCGGGTTCCTCCGGGAAGCCGGCAGCCCCAGCTCTTCGCGGGAACCTTCGAATTCGGGCTTTTGCTTGCTTTACTGACATGAAATAACAGTCACAACGCGAGGACTGTGCTCTCCTTTTACTTTTTTGTTCAGAAAGGCTCAGTACTCTGGTGCTGTATTTTTTATGTAAGAGGATGAGGACCACCTTTAGCAACAGTTGACAGGCAGTTGTGTCTACGTAACAGTTACTGCACTGTTTTGTTTCCTTAGATGCCGTTCAGGGTGTCACCAGACTAGCCTTAAACTCGCCACGTAGCCCATGCGATCTTCCTGCCTCGGCCTCCCGTCTGTTGGAATCACTGGCGCCGCCACACTTGGCTACTTTCGTCTGTTTTTCACTTCTAACAGATTATGAATTTTTTTTCCCCACCAACAATGTGAATAATTTTTAAGTGAGTTAGGAACAAGGAAGGCAGTTTATAGAAAGAACACTAAGGAAATGCATAAATGTACGTGCGTTTAAATACTGCTCTCTCGTTACACCAGCTGTGCTTTTTCTGTGGCAGGTTTATTTGTATCTACCCTGCTTATTTAAATAATAAGAAAACCATCGCAGAGGGGAGGCGGATCCCAATAAGTAAGGTGAGCAGAGACCTCACCCTGGTGCTTCAGGGTTCGGGGGAGTCCAATTGAGAGCTTCGCTTCTTTTTACTTCCCTGCGTTCTCTAAGGCCTGAGGAGAGCAGCAGCCAGGATTTGAAGTCTTTTCCTTAGTGTTGGTGAAACCAGAAGAACACAGTTTTGGAACTGGAGGGATTTTTAAAATGGTGCTTAATGAGGCTGTGGGGGCAAAGCGTCTGTAGAGTTTATATTTTTGGATTTTTTTAAACCAATGTTATTACAGTCTTTAATAAAGTACATAAGAATAATGGCATTGCACAATATAATGTCCAAAACACAGGTTAGCTTTTTGAAAGTGGGACGTGATGGCCCGGTGTAGTTTGCAGGCTCAGCTTTTGCTTGTCATATGGGTGGCCCTGGGTTGCAATGGGGGAAGGGGGCTGGAGTTACAGTTTTAAAAGTTAAGATTTGTTCTTTGTGCTCTTTGGATAAATTAATTTTAAAAAAACTCAGCTTTTCCGTTGAACTTTGACTTTAGTTTGCTAAGTGCTTAATGCCAAGGATTTTATAACAACTTTGTTTAAAATTGATGTTATATTCTGTTTTTAAAGAGGCATTTACATTTTCTAATCTAATGCCAGATTTCAGACAGTTTGATTTGTAAAGCCAGGAATTAGCTATTTTTATGTTACTTAATATCTTTCATTTTGCTGCGGCTTTATTGTGTGAAAAAGTCTACTTTGCTGCCTCGGGAAAAAAAAATACTAAAGCCCTTGTTCACAATAATGGCCAACATCAAGTCACTGTGACAGGCTGTGGTTATAAGCTGTCATACTCTTTGGAGAGTGAATTTTTTTTTAAAAAAATTATTGGTGTACAGTGGACATGCTCTTACATGTGACTTTTTAAAATGTACCAATAGTACATTTTAGGTATAGGTAATGATCACATTCATCATAAGGAATTTATATCTGCACATGATATAAGTTGATTCTCTCCCCACACACACCCCCTTCCTTCATCCCCTCTTCCTCTCCTTATTTGTAAAAGCTTTGTATCTTAAGTGTGTAGCTTGTTTAATTTCACAAAGAGTACTTCCTAGTACCGGCATCCAAATTTATAAAATATTACCAAACCTGGTGTAGTGGTGTTTGCCTATGCCTACAGTCCTAGCACTTTAGAGGCTAAGACAGGAAGATTGAAAGTTCAAGACCAGCCTGGGCTACCTATTGAGACCTCCATCTGAAAAAAAGTTTTTACTACTTTGCAGGAAGACTGCTTTATGTTCCCTCCCAGTCCGTGTATTTCCCGGATTGATGAGATTTACCCGTACTTTGAGGTGCAGGTTTTTGTTGTTGGTATGTTTTCATTCTGGAGAAAAGGACCCAGTGCCTTGGGTGTGCTGCATGTACCCTGTCACTGAGGAAAATCCTAGCCTCTTGCAGTACAGTTTAGTTCTCGTTGCTCTGTAGAATTTTTTTTTTTCAACTTTATTTTGAAAGTAGTAAAAATGCAACAGCACAAGACAGAACAAAGCCAATCAAGACAATACAGTGAAATTGTACAGGATTTCACAGTAGGATACTGGGATAGTAGTAATAGGTATTATGGTATATCTCTTTACCTTCACAATAGTTGTCCAGATTAGGTATAGTAAAATCAAACCAAAAATAGAACATTATAAAACCAATTGAGAATACTGAATAGAGCAAAAGAAACATAACAAAACTGTGAAAACAACCTTTGCCTTCAAACAGAAGATAGGAGGAAATCCCCCATATTTGCTATACTGCATATGGTCATCCTCCCAAGAGATGCTGAGACATCTATCCCCAGTAGCTATGAGGGGAGGGCAGGGAAGGGTGCTTGATTTTCAGCCCGCGTGGCAGTAGGCTCACAGGTAATGCTTCTCCCGCAGGCCCACACCAGGGCACTTACCAAGAGGACAGGTGAATAAGCTGTCTAAGTCCCACTATGGCCAGATCTCGGGAGTTCTGCCCCCTAGAATTTTAACATCAGCACCACTGATGATTGTAGAGACTGCCCAGTACATTTTAAGGCCCTTAGCAGCATCCCGGGCCTCTCCATTAGAAGACAGATCCTCTCCCTAGTTAACTCAGAACAGCTGCCAAACATGGGCAGAGCACTTTGCTGAAAACCACTGCTTTGTCAAACTGCATTGTGCAAGTGTAGCACACTCTTCTTCTGTTGATTGATAGCCGAGTTGTTTCCAACTTGGGGCTGTTTTGTATAGCACTATTGTGAGTACTTTTTGAGCTTGTCTTTTATGTATTTCTGTTGAATATATACCTAGGATGGAATTGCATAGCCACGAGGAATCCTGTATTCAGCATCTTTAAATAAGGCCAATTTCACTGGTTCTGTGTGTCACTGTGTTGTCAGCAGTCAAGCACCTGCTGTTTCAGAAGACGACACTAGGAATAGGATGGTACCCAAAACCAAACCCTTGCCCTCATGAAGTTTATGTTCTTTAAAAGAGAGACTGACACACAAGTCTGCATCAGTGTTATTACCAGGGTGCTTTTTGAGTTTTTGTTTGCTTTGTTTTGGAAATAGAACTCAGGACCTTTACACTCAACCATAGCCACAGCCCTTGTTGTTCAGGGCCTTTTGGGGTGTTTTGTTTTGTTTTGATTTGTTTTTTGTTTTGTTTTTTGAGACACAATCTCACTGAAGTGGCCTGGGTTTCAAATCCTCCTGCCTCAGCTTTTCAGTGTTCCGATTGTGGGTGTGCACCATCACTCCCAGTCTCCTAGAAATTTTTAAAACTACAGTTCAAACGGTTACACCTAAAAAAAGGACACCTAAGGTTTAGGTTTGTTGTGATCATAGTATTTGAAATGATTTACTGGGTCATATGGGGGTAGGGGTATCTTTTATTTATTTATTTATTTTTGTCTTTCTGAGACAGGATCTTGCTATGCAGTTCAGGCCAGCCTTGGGCTCCTTTTGTAGCCTAGGCTGGTCTAAAACTTGGAAGGATCTGCTTGCCTCAGCCTCCAAGTGCTGGGATTACAGGGGTGCACCACCATGGCCGGTTGTATAGGGATATCTTCTTAAACTACTTAGTGTTTTTATTTTTAACTGTTCAGGCTGTTGAAAATCCTACAGCTACAGAGATTCAAGATGTATGCTCAGCAGTTGGACTCAATGCATTTATTGAGGTATGATGTGAATCTTCACTGTTTTCTATATTCATCTCACTGATGTAATAATTTTCTTAAAGCCTATTTTGTTTTGTTTACATTAGAAAAATAAAATGTACTCTAGGGAATGGAATCGTGATGTTCAATACAGAGGCAGAGTCCGGGTCCAGCTCAAGCAGGAAGACGGCAGCCTCTGTCTGGGACAATTCCCATCGCGTAAGCCTTTTTTTTTTTTAATGACTAACTTGGGCTCAAGAATAGATTATTCCCTTTCAACACAAAAAAGGTTCTAAAATTGGCCTTCTGAAAGGTATAAATGAATTTTATTACTTTAAAGAAAGGACTGCTGATAAACAGAGGTCAAGAATTTTTTTTTTTCAAGTACTAGGGGTTCAATTTAACACTGAGCTACATCCCTAGGCCCTTTTTTGCATGGACACAGAGTCTCACTAAGTTGCCCAGACTGTACTCAAACTTGTGATTGTCCTGCTTCAGCCTCCTAGAGTTCTAGCATATGACACCATACTGAGCAAGAACTTCTTTGAAAATGTGATTAAACCTATGAATTGTTCTAAAATAAATAAACATTTTATTCTGGAAGGTCATCATTGTTCCCAGTTGAATTAAAATTATTATATGGAGGGATACTAATTTTTAGATCCTAGAGATCGTAGAGGAGGGGGAGGTGGGAAGTGGAGAATTCAGAGGAACTAATGGTCAAAGATCATAGGAATGTCTCTACTATTATATTTCTTGAAAAAAATAATTGCCAACCATATTAAAAATATTAGTTAAAAATTAGTTCCAGGTATTGGGAAAACAAGCGCTTATATATTAATTTTTTCTGAATTTTTTACTTCAAGAAAGTATATTTTAAAGAATGAGTCTGGGCTGAAGATACAGCTCAGTGACACAGCTCAACACAAGGTCCTGAGTTTGATTTCTGATACAAACAAAAAAAGTGCAGCTAATAGCCGGGTGCAAGCTTCTGTACTCTGGGATGCAGAGGCAGGAGAATTGCAAGTTCTAGCAATTTAGCAAGACTCTGTCACAAATTGGAAAAGGGTAGATGTGAAGGCGATCCGGCTACGTCACCCCATTGATGCCAAGGTTGATTGGGCTGATCTGGCTGGCCAAGCAGGTGTCCCCTCCCTCCCTCAGTACTGCATATGCATCCCCGCAGAAGCTGTGCACTGTTGGAAGAGGACAGTCAGCCCTCCATAGCCCTCTGTCCAGGGTCTATGAGTAGCTGCGCTCCCCTTCAAGAACCAGACAGGCACTCAAAATAGGAAAAGGGCAGGGGCGGAGCTCAGCACGAAGGCCCCGGGTGCAATCCCAGATACGGCGGAGAAAATGGGCAACTGTTTGCTTCATATTTTCTTTTCAGTTTAATGAAACTCTTCCATTTAATTCAATTAAAAGTAGTAGTAGTATCATACAAAATGTGTAAATTGTTTTTAATCAAATTCAAATGGATTGGTTTTTATATACAACTCCTACCAGGAGACAGGACATCACTAGAGACTTAGGGCGTGACCCAGCACTGATGCTGTGTTGTAATTCTCTTTCTCCTCTTTGACATTGTCCTGTACTGCCTCAAGTGGCCATAAAAAAATCAAAGCAGATGCTGTACACATTGTTGAAAGATACTGCTGGGACTGGGGATTTAGCTCAACGGTATAAACCCCTGCCTTGCAAGTGTGTGGTCGTGAGTTCAATCCTGGGTACTGATAAAAAAGAAAAAGACAAAAAAAAAAAAAAAAAAAGTTCTAAAAAAAAAAAAGATACTGCTACCCGTTTGTAATAAGATGGTAGAGAGGGCAAAAGCACAGGCGGGTAGAGCAGAGAGAGCGGCTGCCAAAAACTGGTACCTGGGATCAAACTCACAATCTTGCACTTGCAAGGCAGGCATTTATGCTGCTGAGCTAAATCCCCAGCCCCTAAATCCAGAATTACTGTTTTAAACTGAAGGGTTTTGCTTAGTGTTGGATTTTGCTCATTTTAATATTCTCATTGACATCTCACTCAGGACATTTTTCTCTGCCACAGGACCCACCTGAGCAAGTCACTGGCATTTGATTTTTTAAAATTACTTCCCATTTTCTTGATACAATAGTTTCCTGCACTGTCTCATATTCAGGTGAATAACTTTTTATGTCTTATTTCGTAGATGACACGCTAAACCCACCTTCTTGTTCCTAGGAAAGTCAGTGATGTTGTATGCAGCAGAAATGATACCTAAACTAAAAACAAGAACACAGAAAACAGGAGGTGGTGACCCAAATCTTCAGCAAGGAGAGGGAAGTAAAAAAGGAAAAGGGAAGAAGAAGAAGTGATCCACACGAGCATCAAGGGTGTAACCCCACTGTGGGAGGCAGTGGAGGCGGCCTTGCGGCTGAGGGAAACAGCTCTGCCTTTGCGTCAGTCACCTGAACTCCGAACTTTGTGCCTGGCATCCTCGTGTGGGAGTCAACAGTGAAATGAGTACATCACCTGCAGCACAGTGGGGATACGCATGTAGCTTTTGTGCAGTATAAAAGAAAAAAATTTTTCAATGAGTTTTTGTGGAAAAATATTTTTAAATGGACAGTGGACTATTCCAGAAGTTGATGGAAATCTGCCCTTCGTGTAAGCATTTATTTCAGATTAATAAGTTTGAAAAGCATATTTTGTTCACCTTTTAAGTTAATAAAATAAACTTGTGAACTGCCTTGGTTGCTCCTGTTCATGAGGTAGATAATGCCAGCAGAAGAAGTTATTCATGAGAATAAAGAGGCTGTGTGTTCTTGGACAGAATGAGCCTAAAACAAAAGTGGAAAATCCACTTGTGGTGAAGTCAGCAGATCATGTCTTTTTAATCTGTTACTATAATCAGCTTATTCGGTTGCTAATTTGTCAGATGGAAGGTTCTGCATTTTAAGCTGTAAATTTGCACATTTTATAGCTATAGAAATATGGTTTCCCACTTGTCTCATGTGCAGAAAGTCTTGGATCCCCCTCCCCCAGTAAAAGCAGAGCATTGTTTCCATTAGAGTGCTAAAAATTACCTTGGTTTCACCTTGAAGAAAGGAAATTGGAGAAGTCCTGCTTTTCTCTCAGAGCACTCCATGAAAGGAGCAGTTTGGACCCTCCCGAGCTGTCCCAGTCTTCCTGAGGACTCGTTTACCTCTTCCCTGAATTCCATGAGCCACCTCATATTCTTTCAGTGAATCCATATTTTTATAAATTTTTATCACTTATGATGAGCAAACCCAGAGTTACATAGCTTTAAGGGCTTCAGCCCTCATAATAATCTGGCATGTGGCACGCGTGCCAGTCCCCAGCCAGGAGGGTGGCACTGAGTAAGGGCCCAGCTCCTTGGAGATGGGATCGCACCAGCCAGGAGTTCAGTACCAACCTGTATGATGTATCGAGACCCTGTCTCCAGAAAAGAAAAATGTCAACTTTTTTTTCATTCTAAAAATTTTTGTTGACTTTTATAGTAAATATAATTAACAGTTCTTACATTAGACATAAATGTGGAGGATATGTGTGTAAAACTTTCCTATGGAAAAGTATCACTTATAGATGTATTTGGCTGGGGAACAGAAACAGGACTTAAACAGGATTTTAGTTTTTGAGTTAACTGAAATCCCAGGAGGTTATGGCGATAATGAACCTTTAGGGAAGGGTTCTGTCCACTCTACTGTCAACAGCACATTTTTAGCATCCTTCTGTTTCTCATCTCAAGTTCTTAAAAGGGCTGACAGCACCAGACATTTACATGTGCGCAGGGCAGGAAGAAATGGCAATTTTGCTAGGCACTTCTATCCCCCTTTAAAAATAAAGCATAGGTCTAGCTGGTGGTTCCTGCCTGTTATTTCCATGTCTGAGAGACTGAGGCAGGGGGATCAAAGGCTTTGAGGTCAGCATATTCAGACCCTGCCTCCAAAACAAAAATTGGAGTGGCAAGGTGAAAGTACATAGTGAGTTCAAAGCCTGGACCACATAGTCATACCCTAGTCTCAAAAAAATTTTTAAGTAAAGCATAATAACAGTGCACCTAGCAAAACCCAAGCTTCTTGAAGGGAGGCTGAAGCAAGGAGGATCAGCCTGGGTAACTTGGTGACTGTCTCAAAATTTAAAAGCCGGCCAGGAATATAGCTCAGTGTAATCCCCAGTATCACAGGGAAAGAAAAGCCATTCTCAGAAGACTGACCTAAGTGTCAGTTTTTGAGAGCTGTAGTACAAGTTGGAATCAAACAGTAAGGGAGCTGCGAAAGCGAACACAGCTTTTTCGATCCTGGTAGCACAGACATCTAAGAAAGTGGTGGCCCACCATCCTGGGGAAGCAAACTTGAGAGAAGGTCATGGGTACCTGGGTGACTGGGCCCGGTGGTGCACAACTGTAATCCCCGCACTTGGGAGGCCGAGGCAAGAGGATCACTGTGTTCAAGACCAGCCTGGGCTACATAACAAGTTCAAAGCCAGCCTGAACCACATAGCAAGAAGCTATCTCAACAAACAAAGGTGTCAGAAGTATTGCTGTGCAGCCCGTCATGCATGGCTTGGGGTCCAGCAGCCAGGATCCCCTGGAAACTTGTAAAGTATGCAGGACCGTGTGATGATGGACTCCTGTAATGCTGGCAATTGGAGGCTGAGGCAGGAGGATTGTCTCGAGCTTGCGACCAGATGGGCTATATGGTAAGTTCAAGGCATATTTGAACTACATATTGAGACCCTGTCTCAAATTAAAAAATAATAATGTAATTTCTCTGGTTTAAGCCAGGATTCAAATAAATTTAATAGCATAGCCAGCTGATTCTTTTGGATAGTTGATTGGTTCTTTGGGCTCTTTGTTTCTGGTTTTTTTTTTTTTTTTTTTTTAAATAGGATCTCACTGTGTAACCTACACCATCCTCAAACTTGAGGCAATCATGCCTCAGCCTCACAAGTGTTGGGATTATGGGCGTGCACTGCCACACTTGACACCCAGGTGATTCTTAGGGCACATTAATGTCAGAACTGCTGAAATGTGTTGTGGGTTTTTTTTTTTTTTACCACTAGGCTTCAACTGTTTGTGTTTGAGCTAATTAATGTTTTAGCTTTCACTTAGTGCTTAAAAGTATCACTAATTCCACCACTGATTTCCTGTTGTCAGCATGTGTCAAAACCACTTTTTGTTTTGTTTGCTCCTAGACCTTGACTGTCTGAAAGTGGCACTGTTCTATCCTTACACTGACCAAGTGTGGGTTGTTGGGAAGCTTCATACTGCATAAGCCCAGTAGATAGTGTGGTCACCTCCACCCCCTGGCACTGGGGATTTAGGGCCTTTGCTCTGAGCTACGTTCCCAGCCCTTTTTCTTGTTTATTGAGGCAGGGTCTCACTAAGTTGCCCAGGCTGGGCCTGAACTTGGGATCCTCCTGCCTCAGCCTCTCAAGACTTTTGGGATTACAGGCCTGCACAACCTCACCAAGTATTTAGGTCTCTGTCCATCAGGCCAGGCATCTAAGCATAATCCTTTCAAATTAGAAAATATCTGTTTTTCAGTTTGGAGAAATTTTCTTGAAAATTTCACAGATGTTCCTGACATTTCTCATGTTTTTTAGGAACTCCTTTAAATATTAGACCTGCTGGACTAGTCCTCAATTTTTCTTTCTCCCCACTTCCACTTCTTTTCCTTTAAAGTCTGTCTAAATTTTCTCAGCTTTATTTTGCAACTTTTCTATTTTTTTTTTCAGTTTTTGTAAACTTTTTTTTAATGATCTGCGAGTTTCCTCTCTCTAGCATTCTGTTCTTACTTCGTAGGTGTATATCTCAGAAGACCCGATTCCGAATTCCTTTCCCCCTGTTCAGTTTCACTCCTTGCACACCGAGCGGCTTTTCTGGTGGCCAGGGCTCCTCGCGAGTCGCTCCCCCAACTCCGCGCACCCGCGGCTCCCACTCGGCCCAGCTTCGTCGCCCACTTTGTCGCGGATGGTCCGGGGTAGATTTTCAACCCTTGGCTTCGCTTCCTCCCAACACCAAGAGAGCTCTTTGCCGCTCTCTTCTTATGCCGGGGCGCCCAGGGACTCGGTGAGATGCGCGAACGAGCCCCAGCCCGAGCCCCAGCCCGAGCCCGAGCCCCGAGAGGAACCGCCCGGGCCTCGCAAAGGTGCTGGCAATGGAGGCTCCGGCGGGGCCAGGTGCGCCCGCTGGACGCGCGAGGGCGCCCTCTACAAGAGGCGGGGCGGGCGGCGGCGCGGGGCGCCGGGACTCTGCCCGCGGTCGGCCTCGCCCCTCGGTCTGCGCTGCCTCCCGCGCCTGACACCGTGAGTCGGGGAGGGTGTGTGTCGGACAGGGCCGGGCGCGGACCGGGCCGCGCTGCCGAGCTGGGCCTCCCCGCCCCGCCCCGCCCCGCCCCGGCCGAGGCCGCGTCTCCCGGCTGGCTAAGCTGCCGGGCTTTGCGTTCTCCCCGCGTCAGCCTTCCCGGTGCCGGGGTCACGGCCGCGCGCCCCGCGTCCCGCGTTCGGAGACGCTAAATGTGTGGCGCTGCCGTGCGCGTGGCAGGTGGAGGCACCGGGCCCGTAACACCGCTTCTCCACTCCCGCAGGAGTAGGTAATTAAACGAGGCTTCCGGCAGCCAAGACAGACAGACAGCAGTATTTTTGGAAAGGTCGGGATTTTGTTTCTTGTTCTTCCTACAGTATGTTGCGGGTCTCAAACTGCTGGGCACAAGTGATCCTCCCGCCTCGGCCTTCGAAGTAGCCAAGGCTGCAGGTGACTGTGCTCTGTGGCCAGGGCTGAATCCGTAGTGTCCGGATACGAGTTACCTAACCCAGTAATGTTTATTTTGTGTTTTTTGTGGGATTCTTTGCAACTTTTTTCAATCAGATTTTACTTGTACATTTTAGGTATAGTGATGGCGTTCAGCACAGAGAATTTGTACCTGTACATGATATGACTTGATTTTTCCCCATTGCTCTGCCCCGTCTCTTCCACCCCTCCTCCCCTCATTCACAAAAGCTTTATTTTCATGGTTTCCTTTTTGTTTTGACTTTTCCCTTCCTTCCTTCCCCCCTTCCCTCCCCTTTGTTCCCCTTCCCACTTGAACAAATTCTCCCTATTTCACAATATCTAGTACACATTTTGGTCCTTATTTACACTTCCGGTTTCTCATACCCGAGAAATGAAGTATTCACACGTGTGTCTGATTTATTTCACTTAGGAGTGCGGTCTCAAGGTGCCTCCACTTACCTACAGTGTTTTGAGCTCATCCTTCTTCATCTCAAAGTAGTGCCCCTGGAGAGAGGCCTCCCGTCCTTGGCGTGGGCTGGGAAGTTTGTATTTGTAATTAAATGAAACAGTTATTGGAATTCAAGCAAATTAATTCCAATCTACCACTTCCAGTGCAACCCACGGCGAGAATAAAGACACCAAGGCATATTATAAGTCTACCTAGTGTGATGGTTAATGGACCGAGGCCTCGACCCAGGGCTGAACGCAGGTTTTGGTCATAGGCAGAAGAGTGGCTTGGGGATGAGTGACCCTGAGTGGTAGGAAGTATGGGAGAGCCTGGAGCTGAGCTAGGGCGCTGGCATGGAATCACCTCTGCAATGTGCAGTGCAGACGAGTAATGTGCATACCACGGCTTGAGGAAGTAGGTAGTGTGTGGGGTCTTCAGCTCCGAGTGTCACCTGTCAGGCCCTGGGAAGTCACAGCCTCTTTCTCCAGGCTCCATCCGGCCCACTGCGTGGAGCACAGCTCTCCTTCCCGCCCGGCTCACGTGTGTTTTTTTTTGAGTCACCGGGTGGGGGAGAGACACTGTCTCCTTGCTTCAAAGATTACACATCAGCACCTCAGCCAGGCCAAGTGACATTGCTTAAAGCCAATTGAAGGGATGAGCAAATGGCCTGGCAGCTCTGCACCTGTGTGTACCCGGAGAGAGGGCCAGGTTTAGCCAACACCGAGTGCACAGCTGCTCTTTGAGGGAGAGCCAGCCAGGCAGGTGGCTTGGGTTGTTTCCAAGGTTTAGCTGTACATGTTGTGCTGCCATGAACACAGGTGCACATGTGTCACCGTGATCCTGTGTTTTCAGTTCTTTTGGGGAGATATCAGCAGAGGAATAACTGGGTCGAATGGAACTTTTCGTCCTAGTTTTTTGGGGAACCTCCACACTGGTTTCCCCAGTCTAACCCAGTAGTTTCATCTCAAAGGGAGGCTCGTGGCCTGTCAACATCACCTCAGAAATTCAAACTTTTAACTCCACCCCAGGCTAACGACTCAGGGACTTTGGGGAGAGGGTGAAAACGACTTCTGCCAAGGACGCCCCTGCCAAGCCGCAGCCCCACAGCCTTAAAACTGCGCTCCACTGCACCCAGGAGACTCGGGCTGCGCTCCACACTCCGGGGTCGCTGTGCTGTCCCCACGCAGACATGGGGGCTTCAGCTCAAATCCTTTTCACTTTCCAGCCCCGGATTCGCACTCTGCTCTCAGGCTTGCAGGCTTCTCTCGTGTGATGCTGCGTGCGCCGGCCGATCTGTTCTTCACGGGTTGTGTGTACGGAGCCGATTTCCTCACCCGCTCTGTGACGGGCGCCTAGGCCGAGTCCATCCGTGGCTGCTGTGAACCAGTGCTGCGGGGAGTCTGGTCGTGCGAATGTGGGGTACACTGCGTTGCCTTTAGATATACAGACCCAGAGGCGGAACAGCTGGGCCACACGGGTTCAGTACTGTGTGAAACCTCCATCGTGCTCTTCATAATGGCTCCACTAATTCCCACTAATAGTGCACAACATTGCTTTTTCTCCACAATCATGCCAACATTTGGTTTTGTTGTTTTAGGAGTTTGTTTATAGCAGCGCTGCTTGAACTAGGGTGAGATTGTAGTTTTGTTTTGCCTTCCCTAATGGTTAATGATAAGCATGTTTTTTCATGTATTTGTTGATCATTTATTTGTACTATGTTTGAAAAATATCAATTCAAATCCTTTGCTCATTTTTAACCGATTACTTTTTTGGGATTTTGTATTTGTTTTTGAAAACCTTAGGTGTTTTAGATATTAATCTTCGTCCAAATGAATAGTTGGTGGATGTTTTTTGCCATTCTGTAGATTGTCTCTTCACTGTTTCTTTTGCTATGCAACAGTTTTTTAATTTGGTATAATCCCATTTGTAAATTTTCACTTTTGTTTTCTGTGCTTTTGGGGTCCTAGCCAGAAAATCATTATCTGTACCTGTATTTGTTTTGAAGTGTTTTCTTTTAGTAGTTTCAGAATTCCATGTCATACAACTAGGTTTTTTGGTGGGGTGTTTTGTTTTGTTTTTTACCAGGGATTGAACTCATGACTTCATGTTTGCCAGGCAGGTGTTTAAGCCGATGACTAAATCCCCAGCCCACAATTAGATCATTTTGAGGGGTGTGTGTGTGTATGCATGTTTAACAGGATGATCAATAGCAACATTTTTTTTCTAGTTTTGTAAGATATGTTGGCATTTAATTGGAATTGCATTAAATCTGTATAATTTTTTGGAAATATGGCCATGTTTGCTATATTGGTTCCACCTATTCAAGAACAGGGAATATCTTTCCATTTTCTTCTCTTATGATTCCTTTCTTAGAATATGTTTGTTTATTTGTTTGTTTTTAAAAGAAAAGATAGAGGGTCTCGCTATATAGTTCAGGCTGGCCTTGAGGTCAGCTTTGTAGCCCAGACGGTCTTGAACTTACAGTGATCTTCCTGCCTCACCTCCCTGAGTGCCAGGATTACAGCATGTGCCACTCTACCTGACTTTAGAGGACTAGTTTTCAATGTATTTTTTGCTTCCTTTGTCAGATTGATGCCTAAATTTTTGTTTTGTTTTTAGACATGGTCTTGCTATGTAGCTCAGACTAGCCCTGAACTCACTGTGTAGCTCAAGCAGGCCTTCAACACTCTGTGATCCTCTTGCCTGAGCCTCCTGAGTCCTGGGCTTGCAGATGTGCACTCCGGGCCTGTAAGTTTTCTTGATGCTGTTGTGAAAGGTGTTTTTCTGAGTTGTTATTTGTGTGCAGGAATGCTATACTGCTGGCTGCTGAATTTGGTTATTAATTCGGTTATTAATAAAGCGGCACATCACTATGGTATGATTTTTTTTCTTTTAACCATTTTAGGAAGATACTCAAAAGGGGAAAATCTGGGTCAAATAGAATTTCTACTTTTAGTTTTGGGGAGACTCTCCATACTGATTTCCATAATGAGTGTACCAGGTTACACTTCCACCAGCAGTGAAGAAGTAGCCCTTCTCTACAGTCTCATTGGCATTTTTTGTTTGATTTCCTGAAGGTAGAAATCTCTCCGGGGTAAGACGGAATCTTAATGCTTTAATTTGCATTTCTCAAATGACCAGTGATATTGAACATTTTTTCATGTATTTATTGGCCATTTGTATTTCTTCATCTGAGAAGTATCTATTCAGTTCAGATGCCCTTTTTTTACTGGCTCTTTAACTTTGAGGCGGTCTAATTTTTTAAAGCTCTTTATATATTCTAGATACTGGTCCTTTGAGAAGTAACTGGCAAAAAATTTTCCTAGGTTGTCTCTTCACTTTGTTGATTTCCTTTGATGTGCAAAGCTTTTTAATAAGATCCCATGTGTTGGCTCCTACTGTTTGTTGTGCAGAAAGTCTCTAAATTTTACCTATTTTGTCTTCCAGAAGATTAAATATTTCTGCTCTAACCTTTGCTCCACTTTGAGTGTGTGGGGAGAGGTATGGTTTAAGGTCAGCCTTTGGTACGTGGAGAGCCAGTTTTCCCATCACAATGTTAAAGAGACGATCTTCCCTCCAGTGTGGGAAATTTGGCCCCTTTGTCGAAATGTGTAACTGAGTGTGCCTTAGGTTGTTTCTTTATCTTCTATTCTTTTTTTTCCTTTCTTTTTGAGGCGGGTCTCCCTGTGCAGTTAGGCTAGTCTTGAATTCCCTTGTAGCCCAGCTGTCTTCAAACTCACGATGATCCTCCTGCCTCAGCCTCCCAAATGCTGGGATTAGAGGTGTGTGCCTCCATGCCTGGCTTTATCTTCTATTTTGTCCCACTGATCCACAAGTCTGTTTTAGGGTGTTTTTTTGGCGGGGGGAGTTGCCAACACCATCTTGTTTTTATTACTGTGTCTGTGTAGTGTAGTATAATTTGGTCTCGGATGTGATGCCCCTATCTTGCCTCTGTTGCCCAGAATTGCTGTTACTATTCTGGGTCTCTTCTGAGTCTATGAATTTTAGGATTGCTTTTTCCAGTTTTTATTTTTATTGTTCTGTTTTGTTTGTACCAGGGATGGAACTTACAACCTCCTACTTGCC